GCCGTCGGCTGTGAAGAACGGCCGCGCCGCCGGGGGCTGGCTGCAGGCGACGCGGCCTCCCGGGAGGCGCTCGCCCCGCCAAGATGTACGGTAAGGAGGGCTCTGCCTCCAGGCTCGCAAACTTGCGGGACGCGGACCTTTGTCCCCTTGTGGGGCCCCGGCGAGGCCCAGGGGGCGCGAACGCGGTGCCCAGCTAGGCTCTTTCTGTGGTTCTGTGCGCGCGCTTCTGCGCTGAGAGGACAAAGATGCTCACGGCCGGGGACCCTGGGGTCTTCGAGGTCTTTCGGGTCGCTGGTTTGCAAGCGCTGGGGCGGGTGGGCGGTGGTCCGTCAGGGGGCGGGGGCCTAGAGGGATCCGGAGCGGCTGGGTTCTGGGGAGAGCGAGTCTCCCTTGGAGCCGAGCAGACAGGGAGTGTTGGTGGAGGTGGTCGTGTGACAGCATTCGCAGAATTAACAAAGCGGGTTGTGCTGGGGAGTTTTATGCGGGAAGCTGGTCCGGGATTGCAGGGAGACGCTCGCTGCCTGCCTTGTGCCGGTCCCGAGGATGTGGGAGGTGGCGCCCGCGGTGCAGAGGGCTGGACGGCGAGCCAGTTCTGGGTGTATGGTCTCGCCGCCCATGGATGGACCTGGCCTCCGCATGCCTCTGCCGCCCATGGGACCCAGGCTCCCGAACTTCCAGATATGCCCTCCGCTGCGATGAAAGGGGGAGACGCTGCTGAGGGTGCCGCGCAGCTCTGGGTAGCCATCTCTTGTTGTCCCCTGACACCTCTTGCCCCCTTCCCCGTCTGTCCCTTTAACTGATGTGCAACAGTTAGCCAGACCCTCATGGTGCACTGTTCTGCTTTTAAAATTTCCAGGAATTCCCCTGGTTTTGGAGGCAGTGTGGGTGAAGAAAAGAGCACTTTGGGTCCCAGATTGCAGCTCTGACGAATGGAACAGTGGCGACCCCGACCAGTCTAGAAATCAACTGCATTATAGAGCCTCCAGATGCTCTGAGCTGGTGTGTGTGTGTGTGTGTGTGTGAGAGAGAGAGAGAGAGAGAGACAGACAGACAGGAGAGAGAGGATCCTTATGGATGTAAGTCCATCAGAACTCGGGCTCTGGCAGCTCTTTAGGACCAGCAAAAGAGCTAGAGCTGTGCTCAGCTTCCACCCCCACTGCCAGGTAGGGGCCCAGGCCGCACCTGAAGGGTGAGTGTCAGAAGAAAAGCACATTCCCCCAATTTAACCCATCACTGAGGCCGCTCAGCTGCCTAACTCTGCAGACAGACTGGTGAGTCACGAAGTTTGTTGGAGGCACAGGAAGCTGTGAACACAGTGCAAAGGCTTAGCAGTCGGTGGGCCTCACTATTTAGAGACACTCAGCCTTTTAATGAGCTTCCTTTCCTACCCCCTTGGTCACATGTGCATTTCTGAACAGGTCAAAACATCAGCAGGTCCCTTCAGCAAGTATCATTTCTCTTGGATGCGCCAAAGCTGGGGAGTGGGGTGGGAGGGGAGCTTGACTTCAGTGCATGTTCTGCTGGCCAGTGGGGACTCTGCAGGAAGGTAACAAGGAGGTTGTATTTTATAAGCTAGGAGGTTGTGAGGTTCCCAGGAGAGAGCTATATTTTCTTACCCTCTGTTTTCCCCCATTCTTTTCTGCACAGTGAGCAGCCTAAAGCTGCAGATCACTTGACAAAAGCATGTGACTGCAGGGGCACCTGCAGTGGGGAAGGAGTTGGGACAAGGCCCATCAGAATGAAGAAGAGTTAGGAACCCTAGTTCTGCTGGGTCACCTCGAAGCATTTAGTCTGACACCATTGGATAACTGATCCCAGGATACCTCAGCATTGGGGTGAGGGTGGGGGGTCCCACTCTGCCTGTATTGTATGAAGCAAGTCAACGAAGAGTTGGATGGTACAGAAAGGTGAACCAGGAAGCTGACATATCTGGGTGCTATCTTTGGATACACCACAGATTTTCAGTTCTCCTTTGTAATATGTTCTTATGCCTCCAGATGCAAAGAGATGGTACTTTACCTCTGAATCATTCATAGAAAGATTACAAAGAAGGAATCCTCTGGGCAGTTGCCTGCAGCAAAGTCACGCCAGTGCTGGCTGGGTGATGATAATTTCTTGCTTAGTGCAAAGCCTTGTCTTTGTTGGTGTGAGAGGTGCCCACTCTCCAAGGGGAGAGCTCATTGGCCTGGATTTTAGTATTTTCGTGACTTTCATGAAAAGAAATGTTCCATGTCATACTTATTATCATTCCCTTTTCAGAGACAACAGAGTGATGAAAAAAGATGTGGATAGGGAGGTTAGAAAGGCATAGAATCATAGACTTTTTATATTTGGTTCTTATTTTCCAAGTGATTTATCCAAGGTGACACAGTTCGATGGAATAAGGCAAAAGCAAAACTAGGGCTTCCTAGCCCAGTGCCCTTCCCCTCCCCTGATGCCTTGGGTAAATGCTCATCAAGAAAATGCCACCAGGGATTTTATTAACTGATGGACAGTGAGGCCCCCATGTAGAACCAAGAGTCACCTAAGAGCTTTAGGTACAGGTGTCCCTTGACCACTCACCTTGGTTACTGGATCCATTATAAATGTGTCTAATCTCACTCCCACTGCCACTTCTCAGCTGCTTGATGCTCCTGGATGGATCTTCAACTCCCCTCTGTCTCCTCCTCACCTTACCTCTGCCCCCAGCAACCCAGCCTTCCTGAGTCCTCAGTCTCCCCCATCTTTTCCTTCAGTCTGTGGGAGAATAAGGCCCCCCTCCTCTCTCTGTGAGAGGACACAATTCTATCTGGAACAGAAAGGATCCTAGATCTGGGGTCAGCCCATCTCAACCTAGAGCCAGTTCGCAGCTATTTCACCTCAGACAAGTGGAATTATATCTCTATATAAAATAATGAGTGGCCCGTCTACTGCCCAGGTCTTTGTGAGCCTCAGCGCTGGACGCTGTATGTGACAGTGCATTTTAAGAGATTCTGCACACACAAGACCGACTGCTCAAGAGCCTATGCCCTTCAGGTCCTCTTGGGCCTTTCCCCTTCTCTCTTCCTCTCTACTGGCTCCTGAAGATGCCTGTTGCATCCCCTTTCACCCCAGCTTAAACACACAAACCATCTTGACTTACCTAGCCACTCAAGCCACTGAACGACTTCCCTTCACCAAACTCACCCAGCTGCCTCCTCACCACTTACTCACTCACCCCTCAACCCCAGTCACTTTCTAGAAATGGCTCTCCAAAAGGATACAGGTGACTCTCCACATTCTTGTTTATACTTATGAACATAGATTGACAAGGGACCTGGAAAAATAAAAGCACTTTGTACTGGAGGAGGAAGATTGTGGGCAAATTCTCTGCAAAAAAAAAAATGGATTCCCACTAGGTTTTGTGTGCGTGTGCGTGTGCGTGTGCGTGTGTGTGTGTTAGAATTACATAACTGAAAGTTTTCCTATTCCTCTCCCCTGGGATGAAGCCATGGTGGTCCCGCCTGAGAGCATCCCCCTTACCCACCAAGATGAGGCCGAGCTCTCTAAGAAATACGAGCCTCCAGATTTAGGGCAGCCGGCCACAAAGACGATTGGGAGGGATTTCCCCGGAACCACTGTCTGTGTAGCCCAATCCCACGAACACAAATGCTGCTCTGACGAATCCCTCCTCACTTCTATGTGCTGCCTCAGCCCCAACGGATGCCTTTCTTCATGATTTGCGGCCAAGAAAGCTGACTGTAGGGAAAATAGTAGTGGCGCACAACTTTCTGTAAATGCGCGTTACAGAGCACACGTGTGGAGCAGGGGGGCGGGGGAGGCTGTGTTGGGCGGTGTGGGGAAATGCGGGGTGGGGCTGCGGGACAGAGACTCACCTTTGCAGAAAGCTCCATAGATCCTGCTGCTCCCATCACAGGTGCCTCCCACCACACGCACGCTCACGCATGCGCACGCACACGCACGCACGCTCCGACCTCGTCCCCCAAATCTTAAGACAGCCGCGTGGTGCAGTGTGTGGCTAGTTCAAGTGGAAGCTGGGTGGCCTGTCTCTCTACCTTTCTCCTCCCGACTCTATTCCCCTAGGAGGGGGCAGGGGTGAGTAGAGCTCGTTTCTCTCTTTTGCTGCTCACAGTTCAGGGAATTCAAACGGTTGCAGTTTTCTTCTTGTGCACAAATAAAAATAAAAAGTTAATACCACCTTATGGAAAATCTGGAGAAGGGAGGAGGGAAAAAACCACCCACAATCCTACCCTCTAGAACCAACCTTTTTCTCCTGTTGTATAAATTACCCCTAGGATTTTGTGCTCGCCTGCTTTTGCCCTTTTGTGTCTCTTTGTTGCCTGATTCTGGTGTGTTACCTTGGTCGTGATGGTGGCTCTGCCCCTCAGGTAACCTTGGGCTTGACTTTCGAGCCTGTTTCCTGGCTCTCCAAGATGACAACGCCTACCTCATGGCAGGGATTAATCAAGATAAGAGAGCCGCCCCCACTTTCTCCTTCTCTTTCTTCAACTCTCTCTTCTCGACGTTTCTTAATTTTTAAAAAGGGACAAAAATAAAAGTAAACAAAAACTTATGTCACATAATCTTAATAACAGTGCTTGTGATACTGTTCCTGGTATAAACAAAAGAGAAATCTACTTTGGAAAGCATCTTTTTTTTTTTTTCTGGGAGTCAGCCAATCCTAGAAAATCTGGACAGCACAGTAAACCATAAACAAATATAACTAATTGTTTTTACTGTTTTAATATCTTTCTTTCCATGAATTTCTTTATGTGGTTAGAATTACTCATTTTACATAAATTGGTATTCTACTTTTTTCTGCTTAACCTTAGAATATAAACATCCCCCCCCAAAATTAGTACAAACTCACTGGCTGCCATTTTTAATACCATTTTAATGCTTTGTAATAGTGCACAGAATGGATGTCCAATTTCCTTATGGTATATTTTAAGTTGTTCACAAAGATTCAGTACTATAACCCTGGGAGGAGTACCTGGTACCCAAAGCTTTCTCTGAACTTTGGAATATTTCCCTACGTTATAGCCCTCTAAATGGATTGATGAAGGTATATAGATATTTTAAAAGATTTGTTACATATTGTCAAATTTTTT